CAATCACACGCTAAGTCGAAGACTTAGTGAGGCATAACGACTTATAATGCACTTCATAACATATATCAATACATGCATGTTCTGTTCTATCATGTTATACCAATTCCATGCATTCTTCGTATCATATAAAATCATATCCGATTAATTAAAATAAATACATACAGACACATAATTCATCATTAACAGTTTATCATGTAATCACATACTTTTATTGTTAACCTTTTCAGTCACACACTATACACACACCACATCATATGGTTCACGTAAAACATTTCAAACCACTTATAAGCCCATCGTATACATATCACATTCAGTATGCTTGGTTAATCCCTTTATTAGCCCATGTACACTAGTGAGAACTTAAGGTATGTGAGTACATTGAGGTTGTGCACACATATGCTGTCACCACAGCTCGATCAATGTCCCGAAGGACCAGTCCATAGATTCCGAAGAACCTAGGTAATCAGTCCATATGTCCCGAAGGACATAGGTAAACAGTCCGTATGTTCCGAAGAACATAGGTAAACAGTCCATATGTCCCGAAGAACATAGGTAAACAGTCCGTATGTTCCGAAGAACATAGGTAAACCCTCGACCCTTGGCATGCCAACTATACCCCTAGCTCTCATATCACATAACATGGGCATTATCATTTATAACAGTTCACATTACTTATTCATATTCTTTCTCTTATAACCACATAGCTTTTCTTTTCAGTCACGTATCACATGTACGTGTAAACATATATCTAATATCATATGTTGCCTGTAATCACATAGATCTTATCTCATAACGTATACTTGTTTTCACATATATATTTCATATCATTTCACATATACACTTTCATATCACATGCCATATAAGCTCATAGCTTCTTTCACATATACATGTAGTCACATAGTTCAGTTTCACATATGTTCATATATATATATATATATACATTACATAGCACATACTTCTCGTAACATTACATTCAAAAGCATGTTAACACATATAATCATGCATACATACCATTCATGTCCTTCATACACGTATAATCATATATTCATGCATTCTAACAGAGGAAATAGACTTGTCGCAAGTCTTGTTTCCATTTAGCACCATAAACTAATTAATATGCACTCACCTGGCCTCACTAGTCAATTCCAATCTCTTATCTTTCCCTTTGATCGATCTTACTTGTCAATGATTCCGGAACTCGTTTAGGCTCCGAATCTACATAATTATACAATTCAAGACAATTATTAGATACCTACACCTTTTTAATTGGATACTAGCAACTTAAACGAACTTATTAAACCCATATTAACATTTTCCTATAGGGGGAATCGGTTCCCTCCTGTGGGGGTATCGGTTCCCCTTTGGCATTCTGGAATTCTGTCGCTTGAAGGGGTATCGGTTCCCCTTGAATGGGTACCGATTCCCCTTGCCCAGAAATCATATTTTTAGCTCGAAAATCACTTTAATTTCTCTCAAACACTTCATATATCATCCCCCTTTCATTCTTAACTCTAGTACACATATTTAAACCAATCTATATTCATTTATTTCATCTTAAACCTTAGAATTCTATTCTCCATATAGAATCCAATAATCATATCAAATTTTTCATGTTATTCAAACCTAATTCTAATACTTCTAACTTCTTAATCTCATAGATGACAAGTCAAATTCAACTTAAAATTCAACTTATCAATTCTATTTCAAGATTTGATCCAAGAACTCAAAATCTTTAATCTCTCATATACCTTTCATTTTGTTGTTTTAGAACAAATTAAGCTTTCCTTAAGCTTAATTATCATCTAATAATCAAAACCCAACCTTGAATTGAACAAATAATCAACTAATGAAGAAACTTACCTTTGCCCTTGCTCTTACGGGAGGGGAAGAGAAAGGAAGAAGAAGATGAAATGCTTTCATCTTCTCATGTTTTTATCTCTTAATAAAGGGATAAAAAATATCTTTCATGACAAATTACCATTTTGCCCTTCATTTCCTTTAACAATTACAAAATAACCTTCATCATATGTATCCAATAATCCTTGAACTATTTCATTCTTATACTTTAGTCACCAAATTCCGAAACTTTACAATTTGGTCACTAACCCGATATTGAGGATGTTACAATTATTTTCAGAAATCTCCTCGAACTCAGCAAATTCCTTTGTTTCAGCTTCGATGTTTGAGCTACTTGATTCTATGGTTGATCTGTCTTTGTAGATCACATTCTCATTGAAAATGACATCTCTGCTTCTGATGATCTTCCGATTTTCATAGTCCCAAAATCAGTAACCGAACTCATCACCACCATAACCAACAAAGACACATTTGTTAGACTTAACATCAAGTTTACTTCTTTCAGAAGAGTCTATGTGTACATAAGAAATACAACCAAACACGCTTAAGTGTGAAAGGTTTATTTTTTTCTTGCTCCAAACTTCCTCCGGTATTTCACCATCCAAGGGAACTGAGGGCCCACGGTTGATCAGATAAGCTACAGTGTTGATAGCTTCAACCCATAGAAATTTGGGTAATCCGGTATGTATCCTTACGCTTCTGGCACGTTCATTCAAAGTTATGTCTATGCGCTCTGCTACGCCATTCTACTGCAGTGTTATGGGAACTATTGTCTCTATCTTGATCCCATTGTTTGCACAGAAATATCTGAATCTACGATTTCTGTACTCTCCTCCATTGTCAGACCTCAACCGCTTGACTTTCAGGCCAGTCTCATTTTCCACCATGGCCTTCCATTTTCTGAAGATATCAAAGACTTCTGATTTCTTCTTCAGAAAATAAACCCACACATTCCTTGTAAAATCATCGATGAAGGTGACATAATATAATAAGCCTGCAAGAGATGGAACTGGAGATGATCCTTATATATCAGTATGAACCAACTCTAACTTTTCAGCCTTGGATGTCTTACCAATCTTTGCAAAGCTTACTTTCTTTTGTTTGCCAAAGATGCAATTCTCGCATAGTCCGACATTTACGTTCTTTAGATCCGACAGCTTCCCTTTTGACAAAAGTGTCTTCATCCCTTTCTCACTCATATGACCAAACCTTTGATATCATAGGTTTGATTTTCCATCAGCATTTGCTGTAACAATGATATTCTCTAAATTTGATGTTACATAGAGAGTATCAGTCTTCTTACCACGAGCAATGACGAGTGCTCTTTTGATAATCTTCTATTCACAGCTTGAAAAGGTTGTGCTATATCCTTCTCCATTAAGTTGTCCTACAGAAATCAAATTTCTTTTGAGACCAAGAATATGTCTCTCCCTTCAGCGTCCAGATGGTCTGGTTTGGTAACTTTAATAGAATGTCTCCTTTTTCGACGATCTTCAAGGTTTCATCGTCAGCTAGATGAACCCTCCCAAAATCACCACTGACATAGTTCTCCATAATTTCTTAGTATGGGGTGGAGTGAAAAGATGCTCCTAAATCCAAGATCTATGATTCAATAGAACTGTTGACGATTAGAATCATGGCATCACATGTCTCCTCTGTTATGTTTGCAGATTCCTGTGCACCAATATCTTTCTTCAGTGCTCGGCAATCTCTTTTAATGTGATCTTTCTTGCCGCAGTTATAACAAGTAAAATCTTTCTTTCCTGTTCTTGATTTTTCTCTTCTGAATTTGGATCTGCCATGATTTGAATTTCTTTCTGAAGTTCTCCCTCTGGACTTCATGTGCAAGGCTGAGGAGGTTGATGTTTCACCTAATTCTCTTCATCGAATTTCTTCACTCAGAACCAGATCCCAAACATCGTCGAATTTCAATTTGTTGTTTCTCGACGAGCTGCTAACTGTTGTGCCAGTAGCATTCCAACTGTCTGGTAGAGATGATAAGAGTATTAAAGCTCGAACTTCGTCATCAAATTCAATTTCCACGGAACTCAACTAAGCTATGATTGTGTTGAGCTCATTTAGGTGTTAAATCACTGATGCCTCTTCCGCCTTCCGCAAATTAAATAATCGCCTCATCAAATGAACTTTGTTTGAGGTTGATGGTTTCTCATACATACTGGAGAAAACCGCAATAAGACTCACCGTGGTCTTTTCCTTTGCTATGTTGAAAGCAACATTTCGGGACAATATCAGTCGGATAACTTCGAAGACTTGTCTGTCGAGAAGAGCCCAGTCTATATTCTTCATGCCCTCTGGTTGTTTTCCTGAGAGAGATTGATATCGATTTTTCTGGTACAGAAAATCTTTAATCTGCATCTTCCAAAAGCCAAAATCCGCACCATCGAACTTTTCAATTTTCACCTTCCCTTCATCTGCAACTATCACTCCCACTCGAATCTGGCTTCTTTAGATCGTTTATAACAATTTGTACAAACTACTGTATATTATAACACCTCCGTCGACAAACTCATATTGCCGATAAAATTTTTACTATTCACGAAATTCACTATTCACATGAATAGTAATAAATAATAACCTCGCAAAAATTGACAAAATTTACAACCAAAAGCTCTGATACCAGTTGTTGAAAAATAAAACGAATACGAGTAATTTCCCTATAATCAGATTAGTGAGAATACGAAATAAAAATAGAAAAATAATATCCAAAATTGATAACGGAGTTCAGTTAATTTTGCCTACGTCTCTGGACTGCTACAGATCTTTTACTAAAAGAGAAAATTTACAGATGTTTACAAAACATTCACTACTCACAAGAAAACTCTCTAGTAATGAGAGAAAGTAATGATTTTTGGGATTTTGGGATGACTTTGAAACTAAATGGGTTAAGGTATTTATAGTTGAGGCTTAAGGACTAATCTTATAAATACCCTAAAATAAAATGACTAAATATATGATTTAACCATTACCAAACTTTCAAAATATGCACTTAAATTGACCAATTTTTGCTGCCACCGAAAGCAGCCTCCAAATCCATCGAAAGTGGCCTCCAAATCCATCGAAAGTGGCCTCCATTTGTTGAAAAAATCAACACACTAAGCATTTACAAATCAACAATTGATAGATTACATGTAGGGAAAAACCATGTTGCTTACACAAGAAAATTCAGATTCAGAGGTGCCACAAACCTCAATCAACCTAACCTTGTCTATCTTCAGCTGTAAAGTAGATAATTTATGTCAAAAACAAATAAAATAATGGAATATAAGCATTTAATGGAAAGATTAGATGTATATCACCTTGTGTTTTTTAGCACACAAGTAAAATGACACAGCAGTAAACACTGGTCTGGTGAAGTCTGCACTTGCCTGCCTGGAAGAAGGCAGTGATGCCATAAACCGGTCCTTGTAGCTAACATAAACATCGATTAAGTCACTCAAACAGTTCAAAGAATGGTAAAAGAAAAACGTAAGATTTCATGTGATGATCAAACGAAAACTTCCTTGGCTTTGTAAACCTAACAATTATGAGTTCAAAAAAAGATCATCTAATTTTGGGATTTAATCATTCAGACATTATTTCAAACATATGAATAATAAGGAAACATAATTTAGTAAACGAAAAATCAAAGAATATTTGAGATGGAAAAGGATCTTACAGAGATAAACCCTTCTTCACAAAAGGAATCAGCCTAACGCATCCAAATTGAATCCCCAATTCTCTAATATACAACGTTGTTCTGAACACCAAATTTTCCCCAAATCAGTGAATATCTGAGTTAAAAAATAACTCGGCTTTACAATGCAAAGAAGAAATAAGGAGAAGTAGGAGAAACCCACTTGATATTTAGACCATTCTTCAAGGAATTGAAAAATCTAGCGTAAGCCTTTTCTGACATTCCACTTAATTTGACAGCCTTTTGCCTATCAAATATAATCTCCCCAAACCTACAAATTCCATAGCAATTAAACATTAAAGAAGAAACATAATCCAGAACTTTACATTCAAAAGCAAAGATGATGCGGCTTACCTCGTAGCAGCAATTTCTAAGCATATTACAGCTTTACAAACCTCTCCCTACAAACAGAACAAAAAAGGAGGGAGAGAAAACAACGGATTAACACTTCAGATTTGAACTTCAATGGGGTTGAAGTAATAGATGATTAGATGATGAAGAGATTACGACGCGGATAATGGAGGAATCGAACTGGACATCACAGAGGCGCCGGAGCTCCGCCGCTTTTCGGACCAGCATCTTGTGTTGTGGGAGACCAAGCTTTCCCGCTATATCTGAAAGATCCATATTGGACTCGAACCCGTTATTGGATTTGCTTTAATTCTTTTTTGATTCCATGGAAAATCGGAGAAGTAAACCTGTGCTAACTTTCTTTATGAAAAATCATAAATGCACGAAGAAAAATAAGTGGCGGAGTTGGCGGGAGACGATATATTCAAGCGTTTGTTTATTTATTTTGTGCGTTCCGTTCTTTTCTCGGAAATTCATTGGCGCCAAAATATATATTTTTTAATTGCAATTTATTTCTTCTTCTTCTTTTCGGATTTTACTGATTTCTCTAGGATTTTCCCCTTTTTTGGTCCTCCGGATATTCATTAATTATGCAGAGAGGGGAGGCCTTGGCTATAATTAATGCAAACATATTACATACAATTTACAATAATATTTGGAAGGAAAAAGAGAGAAACAGAGATGGAGATGAATTATTTAGAAAATAGGTTAAAATTAATTATTTTCGATAAAATAAATTTTGGATGGATATGATTGTCGTTTGTTGGAGTGATCTATCAATATCTCTCTATATTAATCAAATTATTAAGTTTTTAAGGTAATTTACAATTTAAAGAGAATTTCTTTTTTTTCTAATTGAGTTTCTGTAACACCCTCAACCCGTACCTGACCCAGATACGAGTTCGAGATGTCACATTGACTTTTTAAAACAATATTCTTACGAATTCATATAATATTTGGACTTATATTAATAAAAATATAATAATATACTATTAAATTATGTTTCATTATAATAAATTTAAAGAAAACGTTTTTATGAATAGTACTACATTGTACGAATAATACTGTGAACAATAATAAACAATATCATGAATAGTACCGATACTAACAATAATATAGTACCGATGTTTTGCTATAGTAATTTCGAACAAACATATATAAACTCATAAAAACTTAAATTTTCATCACTATAAAGTTATCATTTACATATATATGTTTAAAACATTACAAAACTCAATCATATGATTTTACAAAACCGATTAGAATATATTGGATTCAAACCTTTATTTACATGCCAATCACAATCAGTATTACAAAATACAAACTATTCATTTCTTTTCTGATCTGATATTTGGAAAGGAGAAACTGACATGTCTTGCATAACTTTTATCAATCTTCCTCTTCTCGGAACCTACATGTGAAACAATCACACGCTAAGCGTTGACTTAGCGTGGCATATAAAACATATAATAAAAATCATAGAACATTTCACATAACAGAATGCATACATGTACATATATCATCATTATCAACATCATTATCATTAACCCATTTATGTGTATCATATAACTCATATATAATTTCACAAAGAAACACATATAACATCATATAATTCATATATAATTTCACAAAGAAACACATATAACATCATATAATCCCTGTGAAACATTTCATATCATCGAAAGCATATACATAACATATACTGTATTTGTTATTATCTCTTTATTAGCTCATGTACACATGTCAGTCATTGTAAACAATAATAACAGTATATCATATAATAATGGAAACACTTTTGATATCTTTTATAGGCCCATGTACATTATTGAGAACTCAAGGTATGCGAGTACACTGAGGTTGTGCACACATATGATGTCACCACAGCTCGTATAAATGTTCCGAATGACCTATCCATATGTTCTTAAGAACATAGGTAAATTGTCCATATGTCCCGAATAACATAGGTAAACTGTCCATATGTCCCGAAGAACATAGGTAAACTGTCCATATGTCCCGAAGAACATAGGTAATCCTTTACTCTTGGCATGCCAACTATACCACTAGTTCTCATATCACATAACATGGGCATTATCATTTATACCAGTTCACATCACTTGTATAATTCTTATATGATCTCATAGATCATTGTATAACATTCTTGTATGATCTCATAGATCCCTTTTTAGATAACCCATATCACATAAGTTCATATCATATCATATCATATATATCACATATTCCTATAATTACTTATGTAAATACCACATAACTTGTCTTATAATTTCATATATTCATGTAGTTCAGTATCATATATTGCATATACATGTAAATCATGTCACATATACTAACATATACCCATAACTTCATATCACATAACATGTAATGCAAGCAAAATGTATTAATACATACATGTAATCACACAACTTATATCATTTCACACTTAATCACATGGGTCATTTCTCATATCATATATCACATGGTTCATGTAACATTTTCATGTACTCACTTAGATCATTGTCTTATAACACATATCCCATAATCACACAAATCATCACATCGATCATCAATCAAATAATATTTTAGGAGTTACTTCTTACCATAGTAAATCCATAATTGGCTCATCGCAAGCCAATGTTTATTCAATACATAAGTACAAATTAAATTGCACTCACCTATATCTCCTTGTCTTTCCCTTGATCAATCCTACTTGTCAATTGTTCCGGAACTCGTTTAGGCTCTGTATCTACATAAATATAATTTTCAAGATGATTATCAGATGCCTAAACCTTGTAATTTGATACTAATAACTTAAACGAATTTAATGAAACAATATTCAATTTTTCCTTTAGGGGTATTGATACACTCCTTAAGGTATCGATACCCTTATTGCATTATGTGATTTTTCTTTCAAGAGGGTATCGATACACATACATAGGGTACCGATACACTCTGCCCAAAACATGCTTTTTCACTCGAAAAATCATCAACTCTTCTTTGAATTTCCTCATACAAGGCTCCTTTCATACCACCAAACTCAACTACAACCATTTTAACTAGCTTCTATCATTCCCAAACCTTATTTTCTCCCATATTTCATGTAATATCCCAAAATCAGGATGAGTGACTAAAATGGAATTTTTGTAACTTTGAAGTATGATTTCAAAAGATTGTAAATACAGGGACTTATTTGTAAATATTTTTAAGGGATTGTTGGTAATTATTAAATGAAGTAAAGGGTAAAATGGTTATTTGACAAGGAAGATTTTTATTTTCCCTTATAATATAAGGAAACCACGTGGGAAGAGATAAAAGGTTCCAGAGTTCTATTATCTTCTCTTCTTCCTTCTTCATACGTAAAGGCTTGAAAAAAAAGGCGAGTCTTCTATTTAGATAATTTCTGGTTAAATTTAAGGTTGGGTTATGATCATTAGATGATAACTAAGCTTAAGGAAAGCTTAAGTTATCTTAAAATCAAAAGATAAAGGAGTTAGTGAAGATGAAAGATTTGGAGTTCTTGAGTGAAATATTGAAATAGAGTTTATAATAAGAATTGAAAGTTGAATTTGACTTGCTATCAATAAGAATAAGAGATTTATGAAGTTAGAAAGGATTAATAACAAAGTTGAAAGTTTAGTAAGATTCTTAAATTTTAAGAATCATTATGAGATATGGAAGATAAAGATGGTTTATATGGATCAATGTGTGATTATGTAGATATCGAACATGAACAAGTTCCGAAATGATTATCAAGTTAAGATTCAATCGAAAGAGAGGAAATCATAAATGGATTGGAACGTAGTGAGGCCAAGGTGAGTGCAGTTTATTTTTATAAGATTATATGGAAATTGGACTTGTGATAAGTCTATTTCCTATAGTAATAGCTCATTAAGTCTTGATCATAAGTATGTTAATAACATGAAGTGTATGTATGTTTGATTATATGAATTGATATGTTTTGTATGTGCTATGTGGTTTGCGTAAAAACACTATTAAGTGTTAATGAGAGAATATAAAATAAGTTATGAAATTATAGGAATATAGAAGATAAGTTAAGTGATATATGGAAATGGAAATAGATGTCTATGAAGAGTTATAGGAGAACAGATATGCTTAATAGAAACATGAGTTAGACAAGTACATAGTGGTATGATCCATTATGAGAATTAGTATAATAAAGCTTTTTGATTTAATGAGAGTTAAGGGAACTAAATAAGATTGAATTATAGAATGAAATGGGAATAGTATATCAATTATGAAACTTGAATATAAAAAGGATAATATGAATATATAAAATAAGTTATATGCTAAATATTTATGGAGCTATATTAAAAGGTTATAAGGAATATATGAAATTGAATTAAGTAAATAGATTAAATTAATATATAAATAAAATACTATTAAACGATATATGTTTAGAAATACGACATAGTTTAAGTAATCTAAGGGAATACAAAGAAATGAAGCATAAGGTAGATGATATGACATAAGTTATTATATACATATATGATATATGTTATCAAGTAATATGAAAGGATTCGGAAAATTGATATAAGCTATGTGCACTACAATAAGTTTAGCATATAGCGGCGTTATTAGCAGCGTTTACTACGCAAACGCGAGTAAAATTTTGCATATAGTGGCGTTTTTTTTAAAAAACGCCAGTAAATGTAAACATTAGCGGCGTAAACGTTGCTATAGAAAGATAAAATGTGGTGTTTTTCCAATAAATGCCACTATATTTACGTACTTTAGTGGCGTTTTTATACAAACGTAGCTATAGAATCGTATTTTAGTGGCGTTTTTATACAAATGTCGCTATAGAATCGTACTTTAGTGGCGTTTTTATACAATTGCCGCTATAGACTAGTATTTTAGTGGCGTTTCTATACAAACGCCGCTATAGACTCATACTTTAGTGGCGTTTTGAATACAAACGCCGCTATAAACTCATACTTTAGTGGCGTTTTGAATAAAAACGCCTCTAAAGACTCGTACTTTAGTAGCATTTTTATATAAACGTCGCTATAGACTTGTACTTTAGTGGCGTTTTTATATAAACGTCGCTATAGACTCGTACTTTAGTGGCGTTTTGAATGCAAACGCCGCTATATACTCGTACTTTAGTGGTGTTTTGAATATAAACGCCGCTAATGACTCGTACTTAGTGGCATTTGTATTTACAAACGCCATAATTTTACAGTTTCTAAGTCCCACGCCCCTTTAACACTTTTCCATTTTTTTTCTCGCACCTATTTTTCATTCCCGTCATTCTCTAATTCAAAACTCTAATTCAATACGCCTTTTCTCATTCTCTTCCCCGATTTACTGGTCCTCTCGTGGCTCCAACTATTCTT